AGCCAATTTAAATTTTATTTATTTTATAACAAAAAATTAACAATCTTTATTTTTTTTTTTTTTTTTTTTACAAAAATAAAAGTAAATATGATGTCGTAGAATTTATTCTGACATTGAGTGATTTCCAGTGATGGTATCCCATCGTACTCTTCATCTTACTTCTTCATACTATAACAAAAAACAAAAGCACAGTATTATTTGGCTTACTGCAATTGGATAGTTTAGGTAAGACTGCAGGGCGTAATGTTTTTCAATTATTGTTGAGAAAGCTATAGGAGTTGTAGGGGTTGAGGTTCTGGTTAGGCTCGATGGATGTCTGCCCACTATTGTCTTTAGGGATGTGACGGGCTAAAAGTGTTTTTTTGGATGGCGTTTTCTTTTCAAAAAGGCCGCTGGAGATTAGTTGAGGGCTGCATAAAAATTCTATTTTCTTTTCCCAATTTCTCTCTTCTTAACAGTGGGGGGGGCCCCAAAATTTTTTTTTTTTTTTTTTTTTTTTTTTTTTTTTTTTTAATTTAAAGAACAAATTTGGAGCCGTTTGTGAGAAAATTTTGATAATGTCCCTGAGGCTATATGTAAAGTACTCTAAAATTTGAAAGAATGGTTTTCAAAATCTCAGTGCTTTGACTAAAACCAGATGGACAGGATTTTTTTCAATTTGGAAAAAATCCTATTCATGATTTAGGGTCTAGAGGTGTTAACACACGGACGGACGTTTTGAAAAGAACCTCTTTTCCGGTATAAGGGGCCACCAAAACGTGTATTTTAGTCAAAATCTCCAAATCAATTTTTCACAGCATTACATAACTTCCCTACACACCGTATATACTCGGTATGTACATACGTATAGGAGAAAGTAAAAATGAAAATTCGCATCGCGCGAACATACAAATCTATTGTCGTAAACACTTGAACTGCTCATGATTTAACCGTCATGTACCAATGAGATAACTACTCTGCTTAAAAAATAAAATTAGTTAATGTATTGATTTACTCTGAATTTACTCATTTACATTCGTGCAAATGAAAATTAAATTTAAAGTAGAGATGAAATATTTGTTTTTAATAATTTATTCACAAAACGTAATGCAGCTAGATGTGGATGTGGTATGAAGACACAACGAAAGGTACTTTCTCCTGGATTAATCGCACGTCTAAAAAGTTTTCAAACAAGGCGAGTGAAATAACACATTTAGATAGAATTTCTCTTAAATTGGCAAGCTGCTGAGATGTCGTGATCGCAAACTGTGCTGCATTTCATTCCAGATAATTATAAATCCTACGACGGACACAGTGCTGAAACCGCCTCCTTAGACAACTGTGTAGGAGATGTTAACCCTAGATCTGTACCAAGTGTTATTGCAAAGGTGTAGTCTGACAGACTACTTTGGGTAAAAATAAAAACCCAGTTTTATAACACTTAATTTAAAGGATTGAACATGTATGATACGGAGTTACAAAATACATGTCAAAGGTGTTATAGATACACCTAAATAATTTGACTCTCACAGCACAAAGTTGCTTGATGCAGTCCACGTATGGCCTTTGAGAAGCAGCCGCAGAAGAACCTCACTATTCGACCTTTGTTATGATCGCCGTTGTCCCTCTACGATTGCTAAATGTTAGACGCTACAAGCCAAGGTATTCTTTATTCATTTGCATATTCATTATTCACAATATTAGGCAATATAGCGCAAAAAAAAACTGACGTTATTACAAAGGCGTTGTCTACTGGTCGACGCGTGATGGCGTAAATTGGAAATGTACACCAAAAATAGGCACACGGTCAAGGTTAGTCTAGGTCTCTAGAGTTTGAGATACGGACAGTGAGGGGAAGGGGGTGGGAAAGCTTTCGGCACTAGTTGCGTCGTCTGACTGTCGACGCCTATCTAGGGTTAACGCTCCGTTGCATCGGGAAGGAAGCTGTGATTGAAAGGACATCCACGCCCTTCAAGCACTTCGTACTGGCTTATGTTCACGAATAAACGGGTTTGTAACTGAAAGTGGATTGTCAATTTTGATTGGTACCATTGAATTTACTAATGAAATAAGTAAATATAACCGAATTTAGTGATGTAACTAATTGTTCAGTAATGTTTTTCATAACCCCAACATTAGTTAAATATATTGTTGACAGGGGAAGGATTTAGTGCTTCAGGCAACTTGGAAGGGGAAGTTACTGCCCCCCCCCCAACATTTCGAGCTTCAGTGGAATTTTGATAATTACGTACAATTTATTAATAAAAAATGTTAAACTGCGTCTGAATTTCTTTGAATACCTATCTAATAATCAGTAATAAGTAGAAACGTACAAAAAAGTATTGCACAATCAAGAATAATTCCAAAGAAATTCCCTTTACATTTTGCGAAATAATCTTCTCGGAAGCGCTACATCCGACATCAGCCACGTCTTTCGAGCATGGGCCATTCTCGAGGTCAGCGTTTCGATCCGCCGCGTTGGCAGCGCCATCTTGACTCAGGTGATAGGCGCCTCTCGTATCCCGTGGAGCGATCCCCAATGCACGAGGCACATTTATTTATTTACGTCAAAAACGCTTAAAAACTGTGTGTGGCGTGCTATGGGCAGAAGTTAATTTGAAGTTACATTCATGTCGAGAAGCAAAACAAGGTTCCATCTCAGCATTTGCTCGAGGATCAGGGAAACTGGACGAAAATCTGATCGAGATGGGGGTCATTGACCCAGATGTTGAGGTACAATACTTGTTACAGGTTCTTTACAATTATACAATTCAAATGGTATGTAATACATTAAATGTCATTGTTAAAATTAATATTATTTTCCTTTTGGATGCACGGTATAGTCTCCAATTGTATAGAAACAGTTGTGCAGCACAAAAGATTTTACTTAGAACTTAAACTTTTGAATCGAATTTAATCGTTTAATGACATCTAGCAAGGTGTTGTAAAATAATGTACACGTATTATATGTGAATTTTTAGTAGTGAGCTGATGATACTGTCACCTGATGAATATAATTACTACGTCACGTGTTGTAGTTATGGATAACGTCGTCACATCTCATGAAGAAACTTCTCTTTTATTAATAGATTTTTGAAAATACAGTGTCTGAATGTGTTGGTCCTATGAGAGTGATTTTGGATGGGAAGGAGAAGGTGATTTAATTTTGTTTCCCGGCAACCACCGATGCTACCGATAGCTATTTAACATGAAGTAATTGTTATCGATTAATCAATGAATCAATTATTTATATCAACAATTTCCAAACGCACGCAGAAACAAAACAATTCGGCCTCCGGCCTGATGAGAGATGTCATACGTCATGCAAGAGTAGGTCTACAGGTAAAAGACTCTATTATATGTATAATATATTAATATTATTACATAATTATGCCATATTCAGGAGTTGCTTTATGTAATAGCAACTTTTTGATATATTGATATGTAAAGAATTGCTTCACTGTATAAAAATACTATGCTGTTGCAGTATACATGAACAACGCGTTTCTTAAAAATGTAACTTATTACAGTGATATTCGATAATATTTTATTTGTTTACATTGAGAAGCTTGCACGATACATTTGGAAAACCATTTTGATTGGTTTGGTCAGAAGCACATTTGCTGTTACAGGCCACGAGCCACGAGTTATAATTTGTTTCTAAGGCAGTCATTTCTTTAAACAGTCATAATATCTATTTATTATTATTATTATTATTATTATTATTATTACTGGCATACGAACATCCTTCATTTCATATTGAAGTGGTTAAATAAATTTGTGTCTTACCTCTTCAAAGTTTGGTCCAAGTTACGGCCACGCTGGATGGGATAAAACCCGATATCGAACCAAACATGTTCCGCTGTCACCGGAAGCATCGCTGGGCAAAGGCCCTCGACAGTAAGATCCAAGCGAGACCATCCACCGTGCGCACAGGGCGGAATGGCGGTCAGCGCCAAGCGACGTCCGGCGCCGCAACGCACCTGCGCCGCCACTCGCCGCGAGCGCTAGTTCCGCAACTCAAACGTCACGCGCCGACTAGACAGACAGCCTTCCCCACGGAGCTGTCTCTTTTTTTTTCTGCACCAGCTCGCGCTCCAACGCAAGAGATTATCGGCCCCGGAAGCCTTGTCAGCTGCCGCTATGATTTATAGCGGTCGATGCGTTGTCCTCAATGTCGTTGCGGCAACGCGTCACACGGCCAGTCGGGCGGATTCTTCGTTGGTTTTGCGCTGCGAGAGGAAACTGACGCTCTTGTTCTACGTGATAGGAGGATTGATGTCGCTTTGATCATTAGTTTCTCTGGCTTTGGGTCGCGTCTTTGATAGTGAACTTGATTAGAGTTTGTTATGAGCATGTCAAGATTTGTTATTTCCAACATCTCAGACAAATATATTTTAACAATAAAAATGGAAATTTAAGTGGAAATTTCTTCAAAATTCTTAATTTGTGACATGAAACTTGTAATTCAGTTTTGAGGAGCTACATAATATTTTTGGACATCTCCCCAATATTTGAATCGTCCACATCTTTTATTTTCATAAACCATTATATCTGCAATATTTGCCTAACGTCGGCTCTAGTCTACACAATCTGTCTCGCAGCGTTTTCAACATTTCAAAGGACGATCGCTCGGTAAAAGTACACCAGCAAACCCGTGAATAATATTTATAAAAATTCTTGCGTACCAGACACGGCATTTTTTCTGTAACTACAACCTTCAAAGGCTCTTATCTCATACATTTATTGGTTGCATTTACTTGTAATTAATTAATAAACTAGTACATTTATATCATGAATACTAAACTAGTACATGTTATTTCATGAAAAAATTAAGTGTGAAAATTTCTACAGTAACGCACAAAAATTAGTACGTTCTAGAAATACGTGATCTATTGCATCACGGACGAAATAAAGAAATTGAAGCAGCTTTGAAAGATCTGAATGTATTAATACATAAAATTAAATTTGCCTGACGTAGGAATTGATATCTCTATGTAAACATAAAAAAATTAGATTAAGTCACAACGAATTGTGGTAAGATATTTGAAGAAATGCGCATCAAATACAGCGATTTCTATCACACTTACGCTGATGGAGCGAAGAATGAGAACGGAGTCGGTGGTGCCATTTGCATTTCGGACAGCAGACCTAAAAAAACACCTCAATCCATCATACCGGTAGACACACACCTCGATTTTCGGATATTAAATAGCCAGCATCTCCTTGCTACCTGCACAAATCTTCACAATTTTCGTAACACTTTAATTCTGACTTGAGCGTGAAGTTACCGCTCAAAGGACCTTAAACGTGGATTTTACAACCGAACAGCCTATATCGTATTGTTGAGGTGATGCAAATACATTTCTTCCTATTCTGTATAGGAATAATAGTGAAGAAAAGTAAAACATTTTGTGATATACTATTATTGTATACTCACAGACTCACACTATTCTAATTATTAGACTGTTCGATATGCATTTGCATCAATAATACAGAACTAGTAACCAGCAGCAGCAAAAATTCTGACGAACGAAACCTCACTTTTTTCCCCAGAAAGTAGTATCCTCACTCTTCAAGAACAACAAATAAAATATTCAAATGTATCACTACAATAGCAATGATGTGTAAAGTCATAGAAGCTAAGAGCCATTTTTTCCGGAAATCAGTACACACTGTATAGATTCGTAAGGTGTTATAAACTTTTATATTTTATAAAAAGCATCAAACAAAATTATTAAACATTAACCAATGTTCTATTAGATACATATCATTTTGCAATATTTTCATGAATCAGAAAGCTCAGAAATATTTTTGAAAATCTGACAATTTAGAAAGAACCTTTATCCATACTAGTATCGTGACCAAAGGAGATAAGAACTTCTTTACCTTTGTGGGGTATGCGCTGATCAATCTCGCGATCGCTACCTACACCCTCTAAGTGCCTTTTGCCCACGCTGCCACAGCCGCCCTCAGGACCTTCTTCCACACTTCAGAGGGCATCTGCACATTGAAACCTTTACTAATTGGCTGTGGTAGACTTGAATGTAAATGTGTGCTGATTTTTTAAAGTGAGTCATCATTGGCAAGGTTCATATTAACAAATAATTGTATTTTGTGATACGAAGCGGTGCATGAATTATAAGAAGTTATTTTTAAATTGAAGACTATTAAAAGTATTTTAGTGTATGTTATTGCGAGCAATAAATAATTCGAATCCGTTTTATATTTCCTACTTTTATATTTCTCCAATGTTTGTTTTATTTTTGTATTTAAATACTAGAATTTCTGCAATTAGTATACATAGGAAGGTTAACAATAACCCTGCAAATGTAAAAAATACGTAGCGGAAGTCCTCGAATCCAAGATTTGGCTCTGAAAAAGAGGACTGTTGAGGCAATGTTGCCATCTGAAATAATAAGCTGCGCGTGTTTTCTCTTTCGAACTTATTCCACACCCCGAACTGGGCCGCTCTTACAATTAGAGACTCGATTTTTTCTGTAAGAAAGAAACCCATGCGTATCGCAAACGAGATGAATTCTGGGCTTATCAAAGAGTGCTTAACCGTATGAATAAGTGGGCGATTTTTCTTCCTGAAAGACGGTACTTGCGTTATAATATGTGATGTGGCTTTTGCCGTCACAATACCTATTTTTTCTCCATTAATTATGCGATTGAGAATATTTGGATAGTCAGAAATAGAGTGCAAAAATTCAAACTTTTTTGTTATATTATATAACTCATCAGAATGATCCTTTATGGATATTGATTCGCCAATGGTTTGCATAACATATATCTTATCTACTGCTTTCTCTAAACTATTTATTGTATTAATATCTTCGTAAAATTGGGCAACTGCTAATTGGCTAGTCATTGAGCCTCCTATAACATTAAAAACAATGACAGACATGCAAGAGTAGAGAAACCACAGAATACGGAAACGAGTTTTCCTAAAAGAACCAGTTAAGAAACACCTTATGGAAATGAAAATTGCAGTAATGACGTCAGATGTGTGAACTATTCGTAATTTGACAAAAACGTCAAACACCTGAACTAGAGCAAAGCAGATTACACAAAGAGCAGTAGCCAACCACGTTCCTAAATCAAAAATTCTCATGATAGCTACTAAAACTGGCACTTGGTTGCTTTTACGAATGTTAACCACCAGAGAGTCGATACCATGAGGAGAGAAAAAGTAAATTTCTTTTAGCCATTTAGCATGAGGAACAACGCCAGTACCTAACAACTGAATTTGTCCACTCACTAGATCACCGAAAATGCTTGTGTAGGTTCCATTTCGTAGACGTTCTCCCAAAGGATGTGTACCTGTCTCTATGCAATTGGCATCTTTCATTTCGGGAATACGCTCTTTCACCAACTGCACAAAATAAATGGATGTAGAAATATAACGAAAATTCCTTTCCCTACGCAAGGACGGGCATTCCACAGTTGCGATTGAGGGTTTGTAAGGAGCAGCCACGACGATCCTTTCCGAGAAGCGCTTGGCGTGAGGCTCCCAGAAGAGGAACGTGGCCTTGGAGACGCCGTGTGTGGCGAGAAGGCGCGGCAGGGCGGCCTCGAGGGAGGCGGGAGCGCGGGCGGGCAGCGTCACGACGAAGGCGGCCGCGGGCTCCCACCGGCAGCAGTGGCGCAGTCTGGCCAGGGCGTCTGCCACCCCACCCCCGCCCTCCCCCACCCACAAGAGCCGCCCGCCGGCGCTGCCCCCGCCCCAGCCCCCGCCCGCACGTCCGCTCCGCAAGCGTCCAGCGAGAGGGCGAGGGCGGCTCGGGCGGGCGCGGGCGCCAGACGGCGCGGCCCGGCCGCGCGGAGCAGCAGGCGGAGCGGGTGGGCCGGCCGCGGCGCGCAGGCGGGGCTGTGGGCGTTCTCCAGCAACCTCCACGCGCGCTCGCCCACCGCCCGCTCCACCGCGCGCTCCGCCGCCCACGCCAGCAGCGCCCTTCCGCGCTCGCGCTCGCGCCCACACACGCGCCCCGCCACCGCCACCGCCACCACATACAGCACAGGCAGGAGGTCCATGGCTGCTGCAAGGGAAACAAAGTTATGTCCAACGTATTTCTGCCGACTCTTCCCGCAAATACCATACCGATTTTTTAAATTACTTATTTATTAAGAAGCGATCTTTTTTAAAATACAGTTCACGATGTTACGTTTGCAACATCTTTGTTACAATTGAACTTTTTAATATTTTGCCCCGAATTGTTGTTGTTTTTTAAATCTCAAGGCCAAATGTTTTACAAAAGCCTTGGAACAAAATTTAAGACTTTTAATATTTTATAAAAATAAATATGGATTTTATAAAAACCCTGGTCAATAGATGTGAACAGTTTAACATTACAGAACATCAAAAAATGATGTAATACTTTTACAAATATTATGTATTAATTTTTTTGGAAGTCATAAGATAGAAGAACAGATGATGACTTGAGGTCCGCCACCAATGAAAGCATTATTTTATCTAATTATTAACTTATTTAATGAGTCCTTGTGTCATTTATCTAATGAATTCTTTAGACAATATTCATTAAATATACTATTTTTAACCCAATCATCTAAGGAAATGTACATTTTTAAAGTACCTCAGTCAATGAATGGTGTACACTGAAAATGTATGCGTTTTTAGATATTTTTAAATGAAGATTTGGTTAGTATGACATGATAACGTAAGTACTGCAACCCAAAAATTGCAATAAAATTGTAATCTTAATGAGTTTAGTTCTTTAATTTGTTAAATGAGATGTATTATATAAAGTGTTTTAAATGTGTTTGCTACATTATTTTCCATGTTAGTGTATTTTCGGTATGAAGGCATGCAATTAAATGTTGAATATTTTTGAACATGTGTGGGAATAATATAATAAAGTAATTTGACTCATTTGGAAGATCGAATTCGGAAACTAAAGGTTAATGGGAACAAAGTTGTTTATAATGTTATATTAATGAAATAAAATTAACGATTATCATGAAAAACGGTCTCGCAGTCTTTCTCACTTATCAACCTTTGAACCTTTCGTTGCAAATCGCCATTTGAAAAGAGCGCTCCCAGGAATTCGCGAAGCAGCAAAATGTGTCCCAGTGAGGCGACCCACGGCCACTCGGGTGATGAATGTATTGTCCAGACGCCGCTGTTGTAGTATGCAGCGCAGATCTTAGATCACGTCGGGATATTTTTATACAATATGGTTGTATAAATAGTGGTGTGTATATACTAGTTTGTATTGTTGTGTTCCGATTTTAAAGAAATTTTCTACATATGACCATCAAAACCAGAATTACTACCCACATCAGACGAGACACTATCATCCACCTCATCTTCCTTTCCTATCATTGGACAAACTTTAGGAGTGCACTCTTTCAATTTCTCGCAAATAGTTCGAAAACAGCGGGTAAATCAAGTTATCAGAAACAGCGGGTAAATCAATGTAAGACAATTAAACATATCTAAAAAGGCATAAAATTCCCTACTTACATTTTAATTGATTTCAAAAGCGCAACCACTCTTTGAGTAATTGAAGGTCGAAATTGTTCCTGGTTGTATGCCGGGTATATGCAAAACGCTTCTGTTTACAGCTGCCCAACGCAACGATGAACGTAACATGCATGATGGGTGGGGGTGGGGCGGTGTGAGAAGGGACAGGATATTTTTGACGGGTGGCAAGGTGCAGGGCAGAACACGGTGGGGAAAAGCAGAGTAGGGTTGGTTTACACCATACCTATAATTTATTCCTTTTCATTTATAATATTTCATTGTGAATTAATATCACGACAACGCAAGGTAAGTCAGTTATAAAATCTATATTATTTTACTACAGTTCCATTTGAATGCAATTTCAATTACGTATGAAGTTAACGCCCAAGAATGTGTTTCAAAATTAAACAATAATATATTGACTGCGTAATGAACTATACATTTATAATGATTGGCTCTAACTTTAATATTTATGAGTTAAACGGTCTGCATGATGACGCACAAACAAAAAATTCGCAACTGGCACATCCCGAAGCATTCAATCAGGAGCCATATTGCCGAGTATTGTTAACTATCTTTCTTCATTCTTTACCAATTATTACTAAAATTGCCGAAAAAACGAATTAGTTTGATCTTAATTAGTTTGTCTCGCCCTAAAAGAGAGTGAACCATGTGTGCCGCAAGCTGATTGCTTCAGGGCCATATAAAACTGGTTACTCCACAAGGCTTCACCGTTAGTAAAACAATCCTACGTTCAATTAATCTGAATCGACGGGAGCACCGAGTAAAAGCGTAAATTTAAAAAAGAGTACCAAGTCAGAATACGCTTTTAAATTAGTTTAAAGTAGTCAGTGTTGAAACATTTTAATTCGAGTTAGAGTAGACGTTCCTGAGTTAGTTACACACACTTAGTTACACCATTTATAAGACAAGAATTGCTAGACCAATTTTTAATTATCTATGATTTGTTGGATTCATTTCCACTTAGAATAGAAGAATAACTATTAAAATATCGAAAAAATTCACGCAAAGGAAGCCCCTACATATTCATGCAAACGCAACCCGCAAATCACGGTAAGATTATTTACTATAAATCGTTCAATAACTCCTAAGAGAAGTGTTTCATGGCATCAAAACCTACAATTTTGAGTAAAAAGACCTCAAAAAAATACTTCGAACGCCGTAATCTACAGAATGAGATATGTTTGAACATTCTCTCATATTTTTTCTGATATCATGCTTCTTGATAATACCCACTTGCTCGGACACGTTCTGAATCGGCAATGTGAATGAGAAGGACACAGAGAGGGATAGAGCGCCAGAGCGAGAGAGGGAGGGAGAGAAAGAGTGAGCGAGAGAGACGGAGAGCGAGAGAGGGGGAGAGCGAGAGGAAGGGAGAGCGACAGAGAGGGAGAGTGAGAACGATGAAGAGAGAGGGAGAGTGCGAAAGAGAGGGAGCGAGAACGAGCGAAAAAACGGAGAGAGAGAGAGAGAGAGAGAGAGGGGGGGAGTCAAA